TATATATATATATATATATATGAGGAGCGTTCAAACGATACCAGTGTAATTTTTACTAAACTTTAAACATTTAGTATTAAGTTATTTGACGGTGTAATATGTAATAAAGTTACACTGGTGTCATTTAAACCCTCCTTATATATCTACTAGTATTTAGAATGTGCGTTTATTTTATATGTAATTAAAATTTATAATAAATTAGATATGCAAATAAATACTATGTTAAATATATAATTTTTTTTTAAAATTTGCATGAATAAATATTTTTAAATATATAAATTATATTTTTGATTTATAATAAATAATTTATATTATAATAAAGTATTATTTTTATTTATTAAAAATTTATTTTAAAATATTAAAATTTAATTTATAATAATTATGGTAAATAAAATTTGAATTAAATATAAAATTCAAAAAATTCTTAAAAATCTTCTCCTCAAAGAAAAATTTCTAAAAACAATATTGACCAAGATAGTTATTCATATTTTGTATATAGGAGTTATTTTTTAAAAATTATTTTTAATACTTAAATATGTTTTTAGTTCCTTAAATTTAGGATAAATTTATTTTTTGTCCCATAAATTTAAAATTATTATTTTAGTTTCTGTAATTTTCAAGAATCTTATTTTAATTTATCAAATTATCAATAATATATCTATAAATAATGGATTAGGACAATTATGCAGTATCAGTTGATTTAATATAATATTTTCACTAATAAAAATATTAATAAATAGATTTATATGATAATATTTGATAAATTTTTTAATAAAATTTAAATATAAAAATTAAAATAATTTTTTTTGAAATTACATGGACTAAAATTAAGAACTTTAAATTTAAAAAATAAAAATAAATTTATTCTAAATTTAAAAAACTAAAAATATATTTAACTCTATTTTTAATTTTTAATTTAATTTAAATTTAACAGCTAATAAAAAAAACACTTTAACTTTTTTTCCCTATCTTTTAATTTTCTAATTCAACGTCGGTCCAACCCATATATTAAACATTTGCAATTTTTCTTTAGGAATAAAACAAACAAATATAAATACATCGTCACCTTGAGGTTGTTATCAAGCTTGCCAGCGAGAGCCAGAAGTAAGGTGGTTTTGCCCGCTCCCGGAGGTCCTAGTAGCAAAGTCATCCTGCAGTACAGCAAAAAAAAGTAGTATAACGGTTACAACAGCGCACACATGAAAGCTCTGAACCTATCAAATAAAGAAACTTACACCCGTGATAATATTACCATCATGTTGCGTCCTAAATCCAAATTAATCACTTAAATTTTATGATGCCTATCAGAGAAGAGAACTAACTCGATCCACTCGGTTGCGGAACAAAAAGCACTCTTATTTGATCTATGGTAACTAACTTTATTCACTCGGTTACCTTCCAGGCTTGATGACGCCACTGACATTGTTCAATATGGTAAGGGAATGCCGTTTAGGCCGAAATATCCTCAACATCGTTAGGAAATTCTGCACACAACCGCATGAAACTCTTATTAAAATTAACTACCTCAAACAACGAGGCATATTCAAAACAAGTGGGAAAAAAAAAGGACGAAATTAACCTCAAGGACATCGCGAGAGTAATTAATCAGAGTAGGAAGAGCTCTGGAACCGATTTGAACGTTAGCAGAGACGTTCAAGTTCTTGTACCTCACTTCTATCTTCGGCACCTCCAATCCAACCCTATCGCAATCAAAAAACAACAACAGAAGCAATATATATAGATCTGTAATTTTGAAGAATCGTTGCAAATGTAGAATATAGGAAGTATTGATGTTGTAATCAGAAATCAGAATTAGTTTTCACATCTCTAATCCGCGGTGAAGATGTTTCTCATGCAAATGCAATTATCGAGGCAAAAATTTAATTCAGATTGAAAATAACACCAAAAATAGAAGCAAACGATAATCGATAATTTGAATCGGAACCTGTCGAGGCGTTCTTTGATGGAGGCGAGGAGGCGGTAGTTGTCTTGTTCGTTGGTGGCGAGTGCTTTCTTAACGACAAGCTCGCGGTGCGAGCGACTCAGCTTCCGGACATCGATTAAGTTATCCGGAGCGGAACCTTGCGTCGGAACTTGCCGGCGGGAAGAGGAGGCGCGGAGGAGCGCGAAGTTGATGCGCTTCTGCGACGGCAGCCTGGCGAGCGCCTCCCACTGGAGCTCCTCCTCGTCCTCCGCCACGGTCTCGGCGTTGGAAGGCATCGCGAAGCTCTCGCTTCCGATCGATCCTATTTCGTAGTACTCGCTTCCATCGGAAGCCGCCATGGTTTGTCTCTCTAACTATTGAATCTAAAGAAGAGAGCGAAAGCAGAAGAGGTAAAGGATAAAGTTGTTATCCGTAACGAACCGAGTATATCTGAAATTGAAAATTGGGGAGACTGTGTGTGAAGAGCGTACATTGGCGGTGTGTTGGTTGGTTTAATAAAAGTGTGGAAGAAGACGAAGAAGATGCGATGGGCGAATTTTGAAGGGTTGTGAGTTGACGAAAGTGCCCCGTGTTTCGCGCCCAAGTTAGTTACGCCTTTTGGAAATGGAAAGCTCAAAACTCACTCGCAACTCCAGTACTGTCGTGTTGGTTGCATGCCACCGAATTCGTTGAAGACTTTGTCCTATTCTTTCGACTCCGAGGCTTCTGTGGATCGTCGTGTGGTGACCGGTGATTTTGTGAACCAGCATCCATCACTCATACCACACGTGACTTTTGTACAAAACTCTTAATTCTACTTCAGGTTTTAAATTACGACGGATGCTAGCGTGCGGGACCAAGAGTAATATAGGCCCTCGGATGTGTATATCAAAATTTTATTGTTACGATTTCAGTGACTTTTTTTTTTAATATAGAAAATTGAATAATGTAATGTAATAATAAATATATTAATTTTGTATTAATAATTATAGATAATTAAATTTATTATTAAATAAATAATAATATTATTTTATTAAATATTAATAACATTGTATATTAAGTACAATAATTATAACATTTATATCATTAAAATAAAAATAACTTTTAAAAAAAATAATTTAAACAAACTTCAAACATAGTAGATGAATAACATAAATTTTGAAGAATCGTTGCAAATGTAGAATATAGGAAGTATTGATGTTGTAATCAGAAATCAGAATTAGTTTTCACATCTCTAATCCGCGGTGAAGATGTTTCTCATGCAAATGCAATTATCGAGGCAAAAATTTAATTCAGATTGAAAATAACACCAAAAATAGAAGCAAACGATAATCGATAATTTGAATCGGAACCTGTCGAGGCGTTCTTTGATGGAGGCGAGGAGGCGGTAGTTGTCTTGTTCGTTGGTGGCGAGTGCTTTCTTAACGACAAGCTCGCGGTGCGAGCGACTCAGCTTCCGGACATCGATTAAGTTATCCGGAGCGGAACCTTGCGTCGGAACTTGCCGGCGGGAAGAGGAGGCGCGGAGGAGCGCGAAGTTGATGCGCTTCTGCGACGGCAGCCTGGCGAGCGCCTCCCACTGGAGCTCCTCCTCGTCCTCCGCCACGGTCTCGGCGTTGGAAGGCATCGCGAAGCTCTCGCTTCCGATCGATCCTATTTCGTAGTACTCGCTTCCATCGGAAGCCGCCATGGTTTGTCTCTCTAACTATTGAATCTAAAGAAGAGAGCGAAAGCAGAAGAGGTAAAGGATAAAGTTGTTATCCGTAACGAACCGAGTATATCTGAAATTGAAAATTGGGGAGACTGTGTGTGAAGAGCGTACATTGGCGGTGTGTTGGTTGGTTTAATAAAAGTGTGGAAGAAGACGAAGAAGATGCGATGGGCGAATTTTGAAGGGTTGTGAGTTGACGAAAGTGCCCCGTGTTTCGCGCCCAAGTTAGTTACGCCTTTTGGAAATGGAAAGCTCAAAACTCACTCGCAACTCCAGTACTGTCGTGTTGGTTGCATGCCACCGAATTCGTTGAAGACTTTGTCCTATTCTTTCGACTCCGAGGCTTCTGTGGATCGTCGTGTGGTGACCGGTGATTTTGTGAACCAGCATCCATCACTCATACCACACGTGACTTTTGTACAAAACTCTTAATTCTACTTCAGGTTTTAAATTACGACGGATGCTAGCGTGCGGGACCAAGAGTAATATAGGCCCTCGGATGTGTATATCAAAATTTTATTGTTACGATTTCAGTGACTTTTTTTTTTAATATAGAAAATTGAATAATGTAATGTAATAATAAATATATTAATTTTGTATTAATAATTATAGATAATTAAATTTATTATTAAATAAATAATAATATTATTTTATTAAATATTAATAACATTGTATATTAAGTACAATAATTATAACATTTATATCATTAAAATAAAAATAACTTTTAAAAAAAATAATTTAAACAAACTTCAAACATAGTAGATGAATAACATAAACCTTAAACTATATAATATTAGTTATATACACCACCGATACATGAAATTAGGTATATTAATACCTGCCTAAGTTGCTCATAAGTCATCTTGTTGTTTACCAGTAGTGTTCTAACCTCGTTGCTAACAAACATATCTCCATGCTCAGTGAAGACAATTTGTCCATCATAATAAATAGTGATCAGAACATTTAATGACTCCATTGATTAGATGTTTCAATCTAATGCATTTTAGCCTTTGTTACAGAACATTATATAGAACTAAAGCAACATGTTTGCAAGCTAATGTGGACAAACACAAAGTAATTGGATTCCTAACGCTCTAAGACCAAGGTAATGATACTCTGCGTAAAGCATTAATTCTCTGACGCTCTAGGACAAAGCAATTGATGACACTACACAAAGTAATTGGATTCCTGACGCTCTAAGACCAAGGCAATGACACTTTGCATAAAGCATTAATTTTTGGACGATCTAGGACAAAGCAATTGATGACACTGAACAAAGTAATTGGATTCCTGAAGCTCTGGGACCAAGGCAATGACACTCTGCGTAAAGCATTAGTTTTTTGACGCTCTAGGACAAAGCAATTGATGACACTACACAAAGATTGGATTCCTAATGCTCTGGGACCAAGGCAATGACACTCTACGTAAAGCATTAAATTTCTGATGCTTTGGGACAAAGCAATTGATGACACTTTGCACAAAGTCACTGGATTTTTCTGACGCTCTGGGACCAAGGTCATGACACTCTACACAAAGTCTTTGGATTCCTGACGAAATGAGACAAACTAATTCAAATTTTTTGCACTATATATACACTACATACGTTCCAACCCTAAACACACAACAAAAGATCAATTCTCTTCAACTATTGCACTCTTCAATTTTGTTGCTATTGTTTTTCAAGAATGTCTTCTTCATCTTCAACTATGTTGTGGAAACAACACCTCCATAGGTCAAATGAAACTCATCTTATGGTAAGTTAATATATATTGCATAATCTTTACAACTAATATTATTCATTACTGACATTTCAATTCTACCATATTCTCAGACAACAAGTGATCAAGTAATTCAATCTTACTATCATTCCATGCCTACACCTGACCCAAGAATTGAACATTTGTTAGAGGTTGCTGGCTTTGGTGAGGTTGCCAAAATTAGACATTGGATGATTGTCTGATAACATATTTAGTGGAGAGGTGGAAACTTGAGACACATACCTTTCACCTCCCAGTTGGTGAGTGCACGGTCACTTTGGAAGATGTGACACTACAACTGGGTTTGAGGATCGACGACAAAGCAGTCACACGACCAACTTTCTTTGACTAGGATGAATTGTGTTACGAGTTCTTTGGCTTCGTACCTCCGAAAGGGGAAGCTCTAGTTGGCTTAACCATAAAACTAAAATGGTCAAGAGACCATACAATTGCACTACCAGATGAACCCACTGAACAACAATTGCACCAACATTGTAGGACATATATCTTAGGGTTGATTGGTGGTGTCATTATGCCAAACAAGTTAGGTAACAGACTTCACTTAATGTATTTACCACTGTTGACTGACTTGGAACGTACAGGACGATATAGTTGGGGTTCTGCTTGTTTGGCACATTTATATAGAGAATGTGTAGGGCAATTTATCCATCGTCAAAGAAAATGGGTGGATGTTCTTTGCTTCTACAATCTTGGGCTTGGTATCACATGTCTTTCATCCAACCAAGAGTCCAACAGGATATTACATTTTTGCTAGCATCAAGGTATGAATTAATTTTTATACCACTTTAATACATCGAACAACTAAAATTTTCTACCTAAAATTTTATCAATGTACAAATTTTTTTTGGTGTGGTTAGGAAGGGGGCTAAGATTTATAGGCACGCCCCATGAAGACTTACTTGGCTATAGATTAAGATATGACAACATGAAATCATAACGAGGTAATACGATGTCAAATTCCCTCACATACTCTCTTTTATTCAATTTATACCCTAAACCTTTTTCTTTTTTAATTTCTATAGATGCCATATAGGAAATTCCAGTCCTCACTACCAACACATGCTTATAAGGATTCTAGAATATGGACTTCTTGTACTGCTTTAACTTCATTTGCAGTTATAGTCTAGCATCAAAGTATAGAGTCCAATTGTAATTTGGCTTGTGGCAACCAATTCCCAGTGAAAACTCTAAATCCTAAACCCTAAACCCTAAACTCAAAATGAAAATCATAATTTTAAACATATTGTTTAGATTACCAATTAATGAAATTTACACTATTGGTTAATGAAGATCATAATTTTAAATATATTATTCATACTAAAGTGTATGAAAGAGAATATATCAATACATTAAGTGTTAGTATAACTTTAGGTATATGAACAAATATTAGTTAAAAGGACATTAAAGTTAATTATTTGTCAAAAGATAGAGATAATTTATTTGTCAAATGGTAAAAAAAAATTATGTTAATTTTACTTTTTTTATTATTATTTATGTTATATATTTTTTTAATTAAATCTTGTAGTATTACGAATTTATGTTTTCTTGTGAAATCTATAAAATCCTTTAAAATCTTATATTATAAATTTACCAAAATCCATTAAAATTTGAATTACAAAATCTTCACTAAAATTAAAATTTTAAAATTTTTTTTAAAAAAATTCCTAAAAGTCATAACATTTTAACAAAGACTTTTAAAATCTATTAAAATATATAACCTTTTTTATGTTAAAATTATCTTTTAAAATTTCAATCCAATACACTCAAAAACATATCTTAAACTCTTTTTTTCCTATAAAAACTAATTTGTATGCTGCCTAACAATACACGCAACTTTCTAGTTTCTATTAATAAGGAATTCACGAATAATAGAATCAGTTCAATTACGAAATGAAGAAAGGGGTTAAAAGAAAAGGTTTAAATACCATCAATATATGGTAGATCTTCCATGCCTTAAAAATATAAAGAAAAATATGCCTTTCCGATCAAAAGAACGTAATGGTGCAAAGCAAGCATAAGAAATCTCCCATTTTGACACGAAACCCTTGAATTATCATATGGATTAGCCTCATGTCATGGATATATATATTCCAATTCCAAATTAGGAATTACAATAGAGCAGACGATATTTCATTGAGAAGTAGTTTTTTAATTGAACAAACAATTGATTTCCCTATAGTGCAATTGTTTTGTCATTCATTGTTGCAAATCAGTCATTACAACATCTTATAATATTTTTGGCCAAAATTTCTACCAACAAAGTATCACCATTGTTTTTATACGGTATAAATTTAATATAGAAAGATAAAAATATGTTAATTATATATCTTAATTTAATAAAAAAAAATTGTAAAAACATCAAATGAAACATAAAATAAAAATATATTAATAATGAGAAAATGATATATCTATAAATAGATATAATGAAAATAGTGTCAGACTATTAATAATTATAACACAATAAATAAGTAATGTTCTAACAATTTATTGCTTAATTTGAAATAAATATATAGCCTTTGAGGTATATACTACCTTAATCAAAAACAAATTATAGGAATAAATATGCTTTTAATTAGTTCATGTAAAAGTGTTAATTTTGATCATTGTAAAAAAAATTATCTTTGTAAAATTTATAAATATTATTCTTTATTTATGTAAAATGAATAAAAATTGATTTTAATTTCTATTAAATATTTTTCTTTAATTTTTATCTTTTTAAATTCTTAAATCACTACTTTTGATCTTATTTTTAATAATCACTTTAAGGTACGTAAATAATATTTATTTTAAAAATCAATAAAAAAAACTTTAGAAGTATCTTAATAAATATTTTAGTGATAAAATATTATATATGTCATACAATTGTGAATATTACTTGAGATGATCACTTGACTCTAATAAATACACAATTAGTTAAAAAGATCACATGATAGTAAGATTAACAACAAAATTAAGATCAAAATCAAAATTTGTTTATTTTACAGAAACTAAAATTATATTTAATTTAAAAAAAACTATGTATATTTAAGTCATAGATATAATAAATGGTGTTATAAAAAAATGAAATAAAGGTAAAAAAAATAAAATTAAAAAAAAAAAAAAAGATAAAATTTAGAACTATTTGTAAAATATATTCCACGTGTGACATGCACAAAATCGATGAGATCAAATACTGTTTGGATCTAAGAACTGAAAGGGGAAAAAGAAAAAGCAAGACTACTTGGTTATATCTTTGGGCATGTTCTCCTGTGGAACATTTGTCGTTTTGGGTTCATGAAGTCATCAAATGTCAAACGGTTTCGAAAGCACACATAAAAGCATTCTTCCTTATGTTTTCATTTCCCAACTTTGTCGTGTTGATTTAATACGTAGTTTTTGCAGTGAATTTTTGTTTAAAATGATATCTGCCCATGTCTAGTTCCATATTAGCATCTCTTTATCCAAGTATTTAAGGCACTCTAATACTTAATAATAACCTCACAAAAGTACTTCGATTTCTTGGTTTCAAAAAAAACGAAAAAATAAAATTCACCTTGATATGTTCATTAGTATTAATAACACATTCTCCAAAACTATTTTTTAATACACTTATACACGTTCTTCATTTTAGTAAAAATATTTTAAGAATAAAAAAAAAAAATAAACTTATCAAATAAAAAA